CATATAAAAATGAAAATAGCTTTTTTTTCTGCTTCAGCAGTACTATGTTTTATGTAAAATATTCATGCAGTCACAAAGGTGAAAGAAAAAATTAAAAGTTAACTGAAATCTCACCATCCTGAGATAATCTGCATTTTAATGACTAGTTTTTAAAAGATGTATCCCTTTATGTATTCACACAAGCGTGAACATACAGAACTGCCACATGCACGTAATAATATTTATAAAGGGATTATACACACCAGCTGATTTTTGTCATGAAATTATTTTCTAGGTGCTTGAGGATTTTTATCTACCCACCCCTCCATGTCCTTCCGTCCTTCTCGCAGTAATAACCTGATACACTTTCCTACTTTCTCAGTGCTCATACAGTCATATGCACATGACATTTCGTTATTTGTACTTGTCCGTATTGTTCCCTTTTCACAGAATTCACTCCAGATCAGCTAAAACATAGCTAACTTATTTTTTTGCTGGCTAAATATTCTAAGGCAGGAGTCAGTAAACTATAGTTACTGGATCAAATCCATCCTGCTGCTTGTTTTTATAAAGTTTCATTGGAACACAGCCTCCACTTTTCTATTGAGTGCTGTGACTTTTTAAATTCTTTATGTTACATATGATATATTTCCTCCCAGCCTTGTCGTATTTTGCTTTGTTATGATATTTTACCATAATTTTTTTTTAATTTAAATGCGGGGTTCCTGGGTGGCTCAGTTGGTTGAGCATCCGACTCTTGATTTTGGCTCAGATCATGATCCCAGGGTTGTGGGATCAAGCCCCACGTTGGGCTTCATGCTGAGTGTGGAGCCTGCTTAAGATTCTTTCTTTCTCCCTCTCCCTCTCTCCCACATACATGAGCTCGCTCTCTCTCTCTCTCTCTCTCTCTCAACAAAATTTAAAAAATAGAAAAAATAAATGCAATGAATTGAAGCATATCTATCTTTTCTAGCTTTGAAGTTCCCTGTTTTGATTTAAAAAGTTACCTGACTCGGGGTGCCTGGGTGACTCAGCCGGTTGAGTGTCTGATTTCGGCTCAGGTCATGATCTCACAGTTTGTGAGTTTGAGCCCCACGTCGGGCTCTGTGTCGACAGCTCGAAGCCTGGAGCCTCCTTCGGATTCTGTGTCTCCCTCTCTCTGCCCCTCCTACTCATGCTCCGTCTCTCTCTCTCAAAAATAAATAAACAATGAAAAAAAAATTTTAAAGGTTATCTGACTCGAGGGTTATCCTTGTGTTTTCTTAAAATTCTTACTAATTTTTTCATAGGCCTGGAATGTATTTTTCTGTATGTATATGAGCGACATTATAGTGTAGTGTGTTTAACATCACAGGCTCTGGTTTTGTTATTTATAACCTGTGTGACCTTGGACAAGGTAACATTCCTGTGCTTCAGTTTTCTCCTCTAAAATGAGAATAATAGTACCTATCTCATAGGATAGTCATGGGGGTTAAATGAGTAGTTAGTTTGTAGAGAATGTTTAGAGCAGTGTCTAATACATAGAACCATGTTTGTTTTTCTCCCATGTGGATAACCAGTTGTCCTAGTAACATTCATTGAGTAGTTCATCTTTTTCCCCATTTGATATAAAATTCTACCTCTAATGAATGTTAAGTTTCTAAATATATATATATAGATATATATAGCTCTATTTTGTGACTCTCTAACCTGTTATGTGGCTCTGTTTATCTCTGCTCTGGAGCCATAGTGGCTTAATAAATACTGAAAATTGATGAGTGCAGTCCCTTTACCTTGTTATTCTAAATTATTTTCGCTCTTCTTGGCTTTCTTTGCTCTTATATATAATTTTTTAGAGACTCATCAAAGTTTGCAAAAACCAGTTCATTAGTAAGTTTTATCATAAAAGATAGTGATACTAATGGCTAGTATTGGAATGGAAATAAATACTTCAAGCAATGGAAATTTTTAGAAGCTGGTAAAGATAGATACCATCGATTGTGGTAAGTCGACATTATGAATATGGAGAATAAAGATATGTAGAAAGATTGTGAGCCTCTAGTTCCCAAACTATATCCCGACATACCCCAGGTACCTCACAGAACTCCCAGGCATATTTTAAGCTGTCTAGGGAAACACAGCGACATCTGTTGGACACTGTGCAGACTCGTAGGTGAGAGGAGTTCCCAGTTTCAACATTTGATTGTGCTGTCTTCATTTCCGTGCTGTGATGTTTGTGAAATTGGGTTTTGGTGGTTGCTGGGATAAAAACCAAGTACCATGCAAAAGTCACTGTGGAGCAGGAAATGAGGATGGCAGTATCCAATCTGATTTCAAGGTTTGAGAACACGTGCAGTATCCAATAGGTGTACACACCCCATAATAACTAATTGTGGTTAATTAAAAGTTGAAGTATTTTTCAATGTATGTGTATTATTTTTTCAGCAAGGTACTAACTTGTTAGGACATGAATATTTCTTCATTTGTTTGAACCTAACTAATTCCTAAACAGAACTGTTAGGTATTTCTTTTAGCCTAGGGAATTCATGAAAAAAATTACTAAGAAAATAAAGGCACCAGGAGCCAAGAAAATTTGGGAACTTCTGTGCCTGAACAAACAAGTTATTACAAATATTTAAAGATTAAGAACATTTGAAGTGCTGTGTAGGTAGAGTACTGTATGCCATGCCTGCTTGGGACAGGATGAAACTAATCTTGTCTGGGTACCTGGGACAGACAGCATTTCTGAGAAAGTAGTATTGAAGCTGAGCCTGAAGGAAGACTAGGAGTTAATTGGGGAGGGGTGGTGGTGGGAATGGCTTGTGTGAAGAGGGCAGGAGCTGCAGGGGCCGACAGGAGTGTAGCATGCCTTACAGGGTGAGGGGACAGTGGTGCGGGGGGACGGCTGGAGAGTAGGCAGAGGCCAGGTCATACAGTCACATGGAAGTCCAGCTAGGGAGTTTATTTAGATCTTTTTGTAAAAGACAGTTGGCAAGCCTTTGAGGGATTTTAAGTGAAGGAACAATATGTTAGGTCACTGCCTGTTTACTGAGGGAATAAAATACAAAGAGGATATATGTAAGTATTTAAGTAATGCTGTATTCTAAGTAATGTAGAGTACATATTTGTAAAATTTGAAGTGCCTTGATTTTCAAAGGCATTTGTAAACTTTCATATAATTTAAAAAACTCTTGGAAGACATATACTCTTGTTCACTGTGGCTGATACGGACTTTTAAAATGAAAGAAAATCAAAAGTATGATAGAGTGTTTAGCTGTAAAACATTTACATTTATGTAATTATTACTTTTTTAAATGGCAGAAACTTTGTCCAAATTTTAAAATTAAATTTGGTTTGTTAATAATTATTTAAAATTGTTAATTTGCATATTTTGATTGCCAGTCTAATACATTTATCTCTTAAGTTCCTGAATTGTTTAATTTGGGTGGTATAATAAGATGTAATGTTACACAGGAATGGGGTAAGAGTAATTTCTCTTAGTTTAGCTGTCATTTTGTACTGCCCTGGAGTTGATATTTTTATTTATTTTGCTATAGTACCAATATAACATTTTTTACTGTAATAAGAAGCAAATCACCTCAGCTTACTTTTGAAAAATTCCCAAGGTTATTTTCAAGAGTTTTAAGTCTTGAAGAATCAATTTCATAACCATCAAATAGGGATGGGACCCATCTCTGGCTTTTGGGGAAGGATGATTAGTCTGTTTGGAATTTGATTAGCATTGTAAGTGTTAGAATTATTTTATTTTATTTTATTTATTTTATTTATTTTATTTTATTTTATTTTATTTTATTTTATTTTATTTTTTATTTTATTTTTTTTTAATGTTTATTGTTGAAAGAGAGAGAGAGAGAGAGAGCAAGCATGAGTAGGGGAGGGGCAGACAGAGAGATACAGAATCTGAAGCAGGCTCCTGTCTCTGAGCTGTCAGCACAGTGCCCGATGTGGGCCTCGAACCCACGGACTGCAAGATCATGACCTGAACCGAAGTCGGACATTTAACCAACTGAGCCACCCAGTTGCCCCAGAAAATTTTAAAACAAGCGAATATTATTCCCTTCCCTCTGCCAGTGTGTTTCGTATTTAGTTAGAACTATTGTTTCATAATGTAATAAAGAGCTAGTTGCATCCTTAAATTTACAATGTAAATAAATTTAGATAAAGGGGTGTGTAGATATATTTTAAAAACAGTCTTGGTTTCATTTATTTAACTAAACTTCCCTAATTGTTCACATGAAGAAATCTGATTACAACTGATTGTAATCTGACTGCAAGGGAGTTGGTTAGTACTTTTCTTGAAAAAAAGAGGTAACGCTTAGACTTGGAAAGCTTTCTTTGGCTGAGAATTTAAGGGTTATAGCAGAAATTTTTTAAATGAAATCACAAGAGTACTAGCACAAAACAAAGCTGAAATTTTTTATAATCTTGGGATAAAAACTTCTTAAGCATAACAGATTTATTTCTATGTAGTTAAAATTTATTTTCTTACGATAAAAATAAATTCAAAATGGAAAAAGGAGTATTTGCAAAACATGATAGATAATACCCAAAGATTGCCAAATCAATAGGATGAATGATCCACTAGAAAAATGGACAAAGTGTAGGTATGGTGAATTTTGAAAGAAATACAGCCAGTAAACATACCATATTACTAACAAAGAATCATTTCAATTTTATGCTTCCTTTATGTTTCATAGAAAAGTTCACTTTGAATACAATAATTTTAAATATTTATAAATCCCATTGTAGGGTTTGAAATAAAGCTTTTATTAAATATTCATGTAATTTAACAATGATTATCTCATCTGGCAGGGTCTTTTTTTCTCATCTTCTAAATGGGTCAAATTTTGATTTCCTCATAAAAGAAATTTTATTAGACACTCATGGTGAAATGACTGTTACTATGTATCATATCCAAACAGCATAATTATTCGACAATAATTTTTGTCCAAATTATATTTTCTTACAGAAATAGAAGAAGAAAGTTTTGCTTAACTTTGTTCTTTTCATTATTTTTATAGGATCCAGCGTTCGAACATTCACTCCATTTTACTTTCTGGTAGAACCAGTGGATACACTCTCAGTTAGAGGCTCTTCTGTTATATTGAACTGTTCAGCATATTCTGAACCTTCTCCAAAAATTGAATGGAAAAAAGATGGGACTTTTTTAAACTTAGTATCTGATGACCGACGCCAGCTTCTCCCAGATGGGTCTTTATTTATCAGCAATGTGGTGCATTCCAAACACAATAAACCTGATGAAGGTTATTATCAGTGTGTGGCCACTGTTGAGAGCCTTGGAACGATTGTCAGCAGAACAGCTAAGCTCACAGTAGCAGGTAAGTTTTTTTTTTAAGTAATTTATGTATATTTTCAAATTTATGAAAGGTATATCTTGATAAAAAGCATTATCATCCTGGAGTTTTCACTTAACTGATTACCATAAATAAATTCATTTAACAAATACCAATTGAGCATCTAGTGTGTGCATGGGATTATGCTAAGACTTGCTTAGTGCTGTAGGAAGTAAAATGCAGCACTTTACCCCTTTCTATTATTTAAATTGCTTACAGTTGCTATTTGAAGTATTGAGTCAGTTCTTTTTTTTCTAACTTGGAAATGACAGAGGAAGTTGTATAGGAAAATTGATTCACTGATTGCTAAATTATCTTCCCCAGCATAACAATTTAGTATGGCTTTGTAAGACTTGCAGGATAGTCAGAATCTTGGTTCCTTTATGCCCCAAGCAAGGAACTGACATTTAAGTGGATTATTTAAAAACCTATAGGATATAGGTATTAAGGTGAAGAACAGAAAGTTGTAAAGAGAAATATTCACTCCCTTTTAGAACATTCTTATTTGAAGAATAATGGAAAGTGTAAACTGAGTAAGTCATGCTTATTTTGTATTAGATACTTATATTCCTCAGGTCCATGTTTTTTCACTTGAGTACTAGATGAAGTAGTTTTTGTTAAGGGTCACATTGTACAAAAATTGTATTATGTTGGGACGCCTGGGGGGCTCAGTCGGTTAAGCGTCAGACTTCAGCTCAGGTCATGATCTCACGGGTCATGAGTTTGAGCCCTGCATTGGGCTCTGTGCTGACAGTGACAGCCTGGAGCCTGCTTCAGATTCTGTGTCTCCCTCTCTCTCTGCCCCACTCCTGCTTACACTCTGTCTCTCTCTCTGTCTCAAAATAAATACTAAAAAAAATTTTTTTAATTGTATTATGTTTAAGTCTTATATATATACTCGTCTTGGTAAAATGCTAACATGTAAAAAAAATATGGCTGCATGAATAGTTCCCCATTTCATCGCCACTCTAGGGTGATGGTTCCCCATCTCCTGTGCACTTCGCAGTATACTTGTTCATTCGTTCAGAGTATGATGACGCTTTTTCTCTTTGGAACCAGATACTCAAAGCTGAATTTGAGTGTGATATAGAACTACTGTAATTATTCCATAATCACAGATTGAGGATGGAAAAAGAAAAGGGTGAAAGAGTCACTTCTTTTGATAATTAGCCTTTCCTCTCTTTTTTTTCCCCCCTTCTTTCCTTCCTTTTTCCCTTTCCCCCCTCTCCCTTCTTTCTTCCTCTAATCTACTTGTCAGGCTTTCTCCAACCTGTTGATAGGTAAGTTAGCATGATGACTGCCCCTACACTGTTACTTAGGTGAGCTCCTGTTTATTGTTTACATTTTTAAGCTGGGCTTTAATCGTAACTCCTTCTTCTCAGCTGTCTCCCACAACCAGTTGCCAAATCCAGTGAATTCTGCTTCCTGGTTTCTTGTATGTGATCCTGAGGCCACTTCTCACCATCCCTCACCTTGTAACCATCTGGTGCCTCATTCTTTCCCTCTTCCAGTCCAGTGGTCAGGGCTCTCTTCTCACCCTTCAGTAGCTCCTCAGTGACAACATCAAGTTGATGTCTAAACTCTTACAGGCCTTGTGTCTTTTCATGAGCTAGTCTCCACTTCTCTAGCTTCATTTCTCAACATTCCACCCTGCCCGTCCCTGCCCTCTACCCTCGTCAGCAGGACCACCTGCAGCACATTTTAAGCTCTGCCAGTACTAAACATTTCAAATCCCTTTTATTCTTGGTCTCTGGCCTTTGCTCATGGCTTCCCCACTGCCTGTTAAGCCTGTCCTCTACATTTTCCTCTTTTCTACTCTGCTAGGTTTGTCCAGCCTTCTTTTTAGCTTTCAAAGCCTTCAGGAAATATTTTTGGCCTAATGTAGTGTAAACAGCCAATTTAATATGGTATAATCAATCCTTTGGCTGCAGACAAGATTCTGTAGGAAAGTTATTTAACTCACTCATGGCCTTGAGTATCAGAAGGTAATAATATCTGAGCTAAGAGATGAATGGAAGTTCTTTTTAATAGTTGCATAGTATCCATTGTATAGATATACTGTGATTATCTAAAGATTCCCTTTTTATGAAGTTACATGGATAAAAATTGTTTGATATTATAGGCAGTACTGTAGTGAACACTCTTTTCTGTAAATCTTTTCTGTAGAATAGATTACTGGAATAAGTAATTCTACTAATTGCTGGATCATAGTATATATTGTGTGTGTGTGTGTGTGTGTGTGTGTGTGTGTGTTTGTGTAGAATTTTAAAAATAGCACTGAACTGTTTGGCTCTCCCTCAAAATTTTAACCATAAAGTTACCATATGACTGAGCCATTCTATTTCTAGGTGTCTACCCAAGAGAAATGAAAAGACAGTATGTACAACAATTGTACATGACTTGTTATAGCAGCATTACCTGTAACAGCCAAAAAGTGAAAACAACCTACATGTCTGTCAGGTGTTGAATGGATAACCAAAATGTGGTAAATACGTACATGGAATGTTATTCAGCAATAAAAAGGAATGAAATTGTGCTATATACTGCAACATGGATGAACCTGAAAAACATGATACTAAGTGAAAGAAGCCAATCACAGATCATGTGACTTCATTATATATATATATATATATATA